CTCTCGATCTCGCTCGTTCCCGCTGGCAGGCGCTGCCTGGGGGGTGGAGCCCGCGCCGCGGGGTGTGGCTTCCGCCCCGGACCCTGTCCACCAGGCTGCGCCCTCCGCCCCCGTCGGGAGGAGGGCCCAGGAGCTTAGTGGGCCCTGGAAACGACAGGGCCGTTTTTTAACCGGTTCCGTTCTGCCGTTTTCTTGCCGGTTCCGACGCCGTTTTTTTACCGGTTCCGTCGCCGTGTTTTGACCGGTTCCGGCTCCTGCTCCACTCCAGTCCTGGAGCCGTTTCTTAGCCGTTTCCGGTCGTTTTTTTTTGCCGTTTCCATGTTCCAAGACATTTTGCTGGAAACGGTGAAAACACGGCCCTGCCGTTTCCGGGGCCCGCAAAGCCCAGGAGAGGACCCCGTCCCCGTGCGCGCGGCAGCGCGCTCGCCAGCGGCGCTGGGGGCGCCGCCCGGTGGTGCGGGGAGGGGGAACCAGCGCCGACCCAACAGCCTATCATCGCGTCGTGTTCTCGCGTCGTGTGCTCACGTCGTGTTCTCCCGTCGTGTGCTCACGTCGTGTGCTCAGGGCGTGTGTTCACGACTGCCAAGCATCTGTGATCAAGTCGTGTGCTGCTCTCCTGTGGAGGGTGCAATCCCAGGATGCCTGCCACGCCCCTGGGCGGGGGCGGGGCGTCAGCGCCACTTCGGCATCGGTCTGCGCCCAGATCCGCGAGGAATGCACAGGCCCCTGGAAGGACCCAAAGGAACATCGAGTAGAAGAACGAGAACCACTGCATAAACCTAACCTCTCGAGGCTCCGCGCAGATCTCTTGGATCTGAGCTGGCTCCCCCCCCTGGCGCGCGGAGCGCGCCGGAAGCGGCGGCAGAGAAGCCGCCAAGGGGGGCCCAGTGCCGATCTAACAACTCCGCGCGGACCCTTTGCATGTTTATACTGTTTCTTCTTATTCTTCTTCTTCCTCTTCGTCACGACCAGCGAACATATCCGCATCCGCGCCCTCGCGGTGTGGCTTCCAGGCCGCGAACCTGCGCACACGCGGCAGCGCGGGCACGTGCCGCGCGGGGCATCCGCCCCGTGCCCGCGGGCTCGCGGCCGGGGGGGCCCTCCCCGCGGGCCGAGGCCCCTCTCGAAGGCCGGCGGGGCCACGAGCGCTGCCGGGGCACCCCCCGCTTGGGCGGGGCCGTCGGGCTCCCGGGGCGGGGCGGGCTCCGGGGGGGCAGCGGCCGAGCGCACGACCCGCCGGCGCCGCGGTCATCGCCGCCGCCGTCGTCGTCGTCGTCGTCGTCGTCGTCGTCGTGGTCGTCGTCGTCGTCGTCGTCGTCGTCGTCGCCGCCGCCGCCGCCGCCGCCGCCGTCGGCACCTTCGCTGTCGTCGCTCGTCTGCGTCGTTGTCGTCGTCGTCGCCGTCGTCGTCGACGGGCGCCGGGGCGCGGAGGCGGCAGCCTGTCTCTCCACCAGGTGGCGGCGTGCTGGGGCGCGGGGTGCTTTGGGCATCCGTGGTGGAGCCTGGGTCGCGGCGCCGGCTTCCGCTCGTCGCCCTCCTGCCTGCTGCTGCCTGCTGCTGCTGCTGCTGCTGCTGCTGCTGCGCCGCCTCCATCAGATCCTCGCCTTCCCGCTCCGCCCGTGCGCGGCGATGTCCATTTGCGCTGAGAAATCCTGGCAATCGGGGTGCTCGCGAACGTGCGTGTTGAACACCCCTTGTGCCCCAAATGTGATGGCTGCTGCGTCACGCTGATCATGGGGTTGTGGAGGAAGACATGTCAACCCGCTCAAAACGGCATTTCTTCCTGACAGGTTCCGACAATCTGGGCGCGAAATGAGACGGTGGATACCCCTGGTCGCCCCCCCCGTTGGGAGGCCTAAGTGCCACATCTGCTTCATCGCGATGACCATGGGGTTCTGAAAAGAGACACGCCTTTCCAGATCCAAACTTAAAAGACAACATCCCGAGAGTCCCACCGGCATGGGCGGGCCCGCGGAACACCTCTGATCGACACCGCCTTGGGAGGCCTGAACAAAATGCCTGCTGCATCGCGATGGAGCCCGATGGCAGCAAAAGTGAAGAGGCGGGTCGTGGAGCAGGAGGTGGAACGTGCATTCACAGGCATCCCAGAGGAACGCACGCAAGATGCAGGCCTGAACCCGGGTGAGAGCACGGCCACGTGCACCTGAGTGCGTTCTGCTGCGAAGAAGCGTGGCCGTCCGGACCAGAACTGACGCTTCCATTGAGGCGAGAACGCGATTCCTGAATACAGTCAACCCGTACATTAAGGATGCGCGATAAGGATGCAAGGGCCTTGGACGCCCAATTTGAAGCTCCTCGAGCGGGGCGCGGCCAACAAACGTGGCGAAGGATGGACCGAGGGGGCCAGGATGCAAGGGTACCCTTGGGAAGGCTGCCCATCCTTACTATGCGGGTTGACTGTACATCATGAGGAGGTCTCAGGCGACCTCTGAACTCCAGCCTGGGCCGTATCGGGCTCCCCGTCCCCTGTATGGGACTCTTCTGTGGTCCATGTTCGCCACGATGAGGACATTATGGTGCAATGCTGTCAGGGGACAAAAACACGTCTACCCCTCGCCCCCCCCCCAAAAGATGAAGCTATGCCTGGGAGGCCTAACGAATCTAGACACGAACGGATCCACGGAACAATCCTGGTCGACGGGACCCCCATGGGATGTCCACATGGCATGCCTGGTACATCGCGATGGCCATCCCCCCAAAGCGGCCAATCTGCCTGAGCGTTCAGGCCAATCTTTCCGTGGACAGGCCCGTGGACACACACACACACACAAACGCGACCCCCCCCTGGGATGTCCAAATGATGTGCCTGCTACATCGCGGTGCTCATGAGCATTACATATGCTGTGCGTGAGTCAGTCTGCATATGAAAGAGTCTGGTTGTCACTTCGCCTGCCCAGGAGCGAGTCCGACAGTGGCCAACTTCGAATTTGCGTGGGTCTGACTATTTGTGATCTGAGCTCGAGTAAGTATGAGTCCGAGCAAGTCTGTGTGTGAACGAGTGTGAGTATGAGTGAGTCTGAGCATGACTACGTCTGGAATCTGGCTATGTGTGAGTCTGAATACGGATGGCCATGAGAGCGGGTGCGCCAGAGTATGAGTGCATCTGAGTGTGCGTGGGTCTGCATGTGACTGCGTCGGGGCATGAGTGAGCATGCGTGTGAGTGATATGGCTAAGTCTGAGGACACGTGAGTCTGAGTGTGAGCGGATGTGAATGGGTCCGGTTGTGAGCGCATCGGAGTACGAGAGGGAGAACGGAAGAGGGAGGGTGAGCGAGGCGTCAGGGCCAAACTGATGACAACAACCCCATGCCTGTGGCATCTGGGAGCGAGGAGCCCAGATCTGCAGCGCCAGGCGACCAATACACAGGATGGCCGCTTCGCCTCGCATTGCGGGCCTCGAGATCTCTCGAGCTTCAGGATCCTCGAAGACAAACACACGACGCGAAGCTCGTCCGACAGACGGGGTCCAGAGCTCTGGAACACCATCTGTTGTCAACACCAGGACGACGGTCTGGGACAGTGATCGTAAAGTTCGTCAACAACCGCATGGTCATCCTTGCGGTCGTAGCCCTGTGCACTTGGAAGGGGGTTAAGAACGTTGGCCAAGATCTAAACCCCCTTGGGCGCACAAATGAGGCCTGGCTCCTGTCAGGAACATGGCAAGACACTTCCAGGAACATGCAAATTAATTACTGGGCCAACACAAGAAATGCCAAATTGACGCGCGAAGCTGCAAGAGATACGCAACCGTCAAGAATTGATTAACTAGCCCAGTGGGGTTTGCATGGCTTGAACCATTAGAGTATCGGGGTGTGGAATAATATTGAGGACGAGGAGGAAGAGCGCGGTAATCAGCAACGAAGAAGGAGTAGGAGACACAAGTCGGGAGGAGGAGGAGGAGGAGGAGGAGGAGGAGGAGGGGGAGGGAAGAACGGGAATGTGATAGGAGAAGGGAGGAAAACACGGGGAGAAGGCAGGAAGAGGAGAGAGATGGAGGGGGGGATGCGGAGCAGCGGCATGGAGGTTGCCCGCTGGTGCTGGTGGTGCCGCTCCTCCTCCCTCCGACGAGGATCGCGTCGGACGAACAAGGGCGAGGGTCATAACAAAGGCAGACTGGCGAACCGCCTCCCGTGACCGGCTTCCCTGGCGCATCCCTGCGCTGGTGGCGCCCGCGCCTCACGGCAAGCACCCCGCGGCGGGGCCGACCCCTGGGGAGCGCTCCCGTCCCCGGCCAGGCACCGGCGCGCAGACCGGCGACGTCGTACTCTGCCACGCCCCATGAGCTCCCGGCCCCTGCCCGCGGAGGGCAATTCTGCCGTCCCCGGTCAGGAGGAGGAGGAGGAGGAGGAGGCGGAGGAGCAGGGGGTTGAGGAGGAGGAGGAAGCGGCACTCCAGAGGCGAATGCTTCATGTAAACATGTGGTTGACTCCAGAAGCCATGATCCTAGAACTGGTGTCCTGTCAGATGTTTACTTCCGCCGTCCTTCCCGTGGCGGAGCCGCACTCGTGTTGCTTCCGCCATCTCCCCCCGGCCTTCCGCCGAGGAAGACATGTCAACCTCTTCCATCCTCGAAGTCGAGGCCTTTTCTGGACTGCCCGCCCTGTCAATCTATGCCTATATACATAACTATTTACATCTCTCTATATACGTATGTACGAGCCTTATATGTATATACACATACATTCACACATATGCACACATTTATATATAAAATTGCATACGTGTGTATATAACGATATATAAATATATGTATATGTATGCATAAAAGTATATATTATGATTCGACATATACATACATACATACATACATACATACATACATACATACATACATACATACATACATACATACATACATACATACATACATGCATGCATACATACATACATACATACATGTATATATATGCAACTCTGCCGAACTAACTATCTCTATCTCTCTATATTTGCATACAAGCAAGAAAGCCTGGATTGAAACATGCTGTAAGCCTGGGCTCGCGTTCGACCCCCGGAGCGGGTGGCAGCCAGCCGAGCGCGCGGCCACAGATAGCAGCCTGGCTGCGTGGGCAGCTCGGGCACCGGCTTGCCCGACCTCAGGAGCGGCTTCACGAACGGGGCCTGGGCCATACAGCCAAGACGCTGCAACAAGGAACGGTTTGGGTACGAAAGGGGCTCGAGGTTGCTTGGGTCATTCTGTGGTTGTTCCTCTGGCCCTCCTCGTGCACGCTGGCGCTTCGGGGGCCAGGAGGGGGCCTCGTTCCTCCTGTACCGTTCCTTGCTTCAGCGGCCCGACTGTAGGGGGGGAGGAAGGTCGGGAGGGCCCGGAGGGGGAGATGGAATGGCATGGACCCCATCGAGATGCTGCAACGCGACGCCAAGCGAAACGACGAGGGCGTGTTGGAACTACGAGGATACCCCCCGGTTGGCCGGCAAGTCTTCGGGCCACGGCCCGCCCCTGGGCCGCTGCGTGTGCCGACCACGAGCGGGACCGCGCGGAACGCTCCGTGGCACAGCCACTGGGGGCCCTGAGCTGGGGGGCTGAGGAGCGGGAGGACTCGGGCTGCTGAGAGATGGAGGCAAGATGGAGTGCAAAGCGGATGGAGGTGAGTGGGGAACCTCGGAGTGGCGGCGGGCCTGGAAGACGTGTCGGGCGACGCTACGGCTTCGGAGCGTTCCGGTGCCTTTTCTGAAGCGATGCTTCTTCATCCTGCGACTGGCTGATGTGATAAGAGCCGCACACACAAATCCGCCACTGTGCCCTGAGGCACGAGTTGGAGTCTCCTCAAGTCCTTGGCCAAATCCCTTAAGCCTCAATCCTCAATATTGAGGATTCTTTCAAGCGGCCTACACCACAAATCGCCAAGTCTCCTGAGTTTGTGGCGTGTCCCGGGTATGTCGCCTTACTTTGTCTGGCCCAAGCGGGCCCCAAGAGGCCCCCAAGACGGTCCAAGAGGGCCCCGAATCGCCGAACGATCGGTCCAATACGCCCAACTTTGCCCGCAGACGGCTGAAGATACGCCCAAGACGGCTTAAGAGAGGCCCCAAAGGCCCCCCAAAAAACTCCACGAAGCAACAGTCGCAACATTCCCGTCGGGAGAACGTGCACCTTTTCATCAGATACTAGCCCAGGGAAGCAATTCTAGACGCTTCGCGTATCCCCACCAGCCCGTCCAGAAATGAGTCCCAGGGGAGTGGAGGTTATGAGGGAAGCGGGGGAGCATGCAGAAGAACAAAGGGCGGGGTGAGCCGCCATATACCCCAAGAGGGGGAGGATGTAGGAGGAGCAGTCGTCGTCGGAGTAGGAGGAGGAAGAGGAGGAGCAGGAGGAGGAGCAGGAGGAGGAGGAGGAGGAGGAATAGAAGGAGGAGGAGATGGAGGACTGCGAGGACGAGGAGGACGAGAAGGAGGAAAAGGAGAAGGAGGAGGAGGAGGAGGAGGAGGGGGAGGGGGAGGAGGGAGGAGGAAGAAAAAGAGGAGGAGGAGGAGGAGGAGGACAATTGCGAGCTTGGGGGCCTCTTGGACCGTCCTTGGGGCCTCTTGGCGGTCCCGGGGGCCTCTTGCGTATCTCGGGGAGCCTCTTGTGGCCTCTTGGGGGTCTCTTGGGGGCCTCTTGGAGGCCTCTTGGGGGCCTCTTGGGGCCTCTTGGGGCCCTCTTGGGGCGCTCTTGGGGCGCTCTTGGGAGCCTTCGGGGCGCTCTTGGGGCCATCTTGGAGGAGATCGATCAAAGAAGTGGGGGTCCCCAATTAGCGTTGCCCCTCTAGAGTGCCTCGAGTCGCCTCTTGGGCCCCCCCAAGAGGCCAAAATCCTTCCAAAACCTAGGTAAAATCAATGTTGTTTGTTTTCTCGCCTTTTCGCTCTTAGACCCGTCTTGGGAGCCTCTTGGGCCTCTTGGGGGTCTCTTGGGAGCCTTTTGGAGGCCTCTTGGGCGCCTCTTGGGGCCTCTTGGGGCGCTCTCGGGGCGCTCTTGGGGCGCTCTTGGGAGCCTTCGAGGCGCTCTTGGGGCCATCTTGCAGGAGATCGATCAGAGAAGAGGGGGTCCCCAATTAGCGCTGCCCCTCTAGAGTGCCTCGAGTCGCCTCTTGGGCGCCCCAAGAGGCCAAAATCCTTCCAAAACCTAGGTGAAATCAATGTTTGTTGCTTTCTCGCCTTTTCGCTCTTGGAGCCGTCTTGGGTCATCTTGGACTCTCTTGGGGCCTCTTGGGGGTCTCTTGGCAACGTCTTGGAGGCTTCTTGGGGGCCTCTTGGGTCTCTTGGGGCCCTCTTGAGGCGCTCTTGGGGCGCTCTTGGGAGCCTTCGGGGCGCTCTTTGGGCCATCTTGGAGGAGATCTATCAAATAAGGGGGGGTTGCTTATTAGCCCCGCCCCTCCAGAGTGCCTCGAGTCGCCTCTTGGGCCCCCCCAAGATGCCAAAATCCTTCCAAAACCTAGGTAAAATCAATGGTTTGTGTTTTCTCGCCTGTTCGCTCTTGGAGCTGTCTTGGGCCATCTTGGACGCTCTGACACCTCGCGACCGGCCCCGTCCAGGTCAGTGGGGAGGGGTAAGGGGAGGGGTAAACCCCTCCCCGAAGGGGAAGAAGGGGGTTGGCAGAGGAAACTCCCTAGACCACCTACGCCCTAAAGGGCTGGTGGGATTCAGGAGTCGCTCTCCCGGCGCTCTGGAGTCGCGCTCCCGCTGGAGACTTGCTAGCAATTTATTGGCGAACAGCGCCCTTGCGTTGGAATTTCTTGCAATTTACTCAAGCGCCGCGCCCCCGACACCCAGGCACCCAGGAGTCGCGCTCACGCTTAGGACTCTGCATGCTCCCCCGCTTCCCTCATAACCTCCACTCCCCTGGGACTAATTTCTGGACGGGCTGGTGGGGATACGCGAAGCGTCTAGAATTTCTTGCAATTTACTCAAGCGCCGCGCCCCCGACACCCAGGCACCCAGGAGTCGCGCTCACGCTTAGGACTCCCTCACAGATTACCTAGGAATCGGGATCTCGCTGCCCGTCGTGGCCCCGTTGCAGCCCTTTGTGGCCCCCTCGCTTTCTTTCGTGGCCCCGTTGCAGCCCTTCGTGGCCCCCTCGCTTTGTTTCGTGGCCCCATTGCAGCTCTTCGTGGCCTCCTGGCTGCCCTTCGTGGCCCCGTTGCAGCCCTTCGTGGCCTCCTCGCTGCCCTTCGTGGCCCCGTTGCAGCCCTTCGTGGTCCCCTCGCTGCCCCTCGTGGCCTCGTTGCAGCCCTTCGGGGCCCCTCGCTGCCCTTCGTGGCCCCATATATGTATGCCCTTCGTGGCCCCCGCTCGTTCGCGCCCGTGTTGGCTCCATATGCATGCCTTTCGTGGCCCCGCTGTCGCCCTTCGTGGCCTCCTCGCTGCCCTTCGTGGCCCCGTTGCTGCCCTCGGTGGCCCCGTCCTTGCCCTCCGCGGCCCAACATACGTATGCCGTTCGTGGCCCCCGCTCGTTCGCGCCCGCTGTGGCCCCACGTGCATGCCCTTTCGTGGCCCCGCTGTCGCCGTTTGTGGCTCCCTCACTGTCCTACGTTGCCCAGTTGCTACCCTTAGTGGCCCCATCGTTGCCTTATGTGGCCCCGCATTATCTGCCCTTCGTGGCCCCTGCTCGTTCGCGCTCTTCCTGGCCCCATACGCATTCCATCATTCGTGTCCCCGCTGTCGCCCTTCGTGGCCTACTTCGTGTCCTTCGTGACCCTGCTGTCGTTCTCTCTCGCTGTCGCTTTCTCTCGTCGTCGTCGCCGTCGTCGTCGTCGTCGCCGTCGTCGACGTCGTCGTCGTCGTCGTCGTTGGTGTCGTCGTCGTCGGTCCCCTGTCCGTCCCTCTTGGGGTCGGGTCGACGGTCCGCGGCCGCCCCGTCGATCAGCGCTGCCGCTGGCCAGGCCGACGGTCCGCGGCCTCCCCGCCGCTTGCCGGGTCTCGGCCTGCAGGGAAGAAAGGTATACCCCCTAAAAGGGTTCGATCCCCCAAAAAGGGTTCGGTCGAAGACGAAGAGGGCGGGGTATCGAGGGATTTGCGGGAATACTCGTTATTGGACACTCGAGCAGATGAAGGCGAGACCAGTCTTACAATGACTTGCTAGTTGTTGTTGTTGTTGTTGTGCTGTTGTTTGTTGTTGTTGTTGTTTTTGTTGTTGGTGTTGTTGTTGTTGTTGTTGTTGTTGTTGTTGTTGTTGTTGTTGTTGTTGTTGTTGTTGAACATTATTTATTCCAAAGAATAATTATTGTTGGGCCCCCTGGTGCGCGCCCCCCCTGCGCCGCCTAGGCCGCAGCTACATTTTCATCATTTTCGTGAGGAAGCCTCAGGTAAAACGATGTGATCCAGATCCGGTTGTTTTGTTGTAATCCGTTTTCCCTTGCAAAAAACACTATAAAATGACATTTCTTGTTCTAATATAATCAAATTTCAAGAATCCGGCCTCTGGGGGCCCTTACGGGGCCTCGGCATCGTCAAAAGACGGCTCAGGATGAAACACCGGACCCGGGAAATGGGTCTGGACCCCTGGGGGTCGCGTCACGAAAAAAATCATGACGCCGGGGTTCGCGCTCGGGTTTTGGCCCCTGCGAGGAGAACTATGCACATACACCGATGCTGGCCAGGCCCATCCTGGGCTCGGGAGCTGTGTAGTTATATGCCTCCCTGGCCAAGGCAGGAGGGCGTATGCACCGACCCTGGGCTCAGGATGGGGCTGGCCAGAATCCGTGCATGTGCACCGTGCTCCTTCCCTGAGATCCGACGTCGCCAAACAATTGCAACATCACAAAAAGTCACCACCAGAGCCGCGGACGCCATCTTTCTGCGACATGTTTCGAGCCGGATCGATCTGTGAGGGTCCTGGGGCCCGAAATGGAGCGAAAACGCCCGTTGTGAACAAAAAGGCAACGCCAAGATCTCAGCCAAGCCACGCGACGTCCTGACTTTTTCATGGCGCGGTCCCCAGAAGTCGCGACCCTTTCCCTGGGACCGGCTTTTCGTCCCGAGTCGTTGTTGACGGCCCCGAGGCCCGGCCAGGGCCCCCCGAGGCTGAAATTGACTCGAAGTGAAGCCCCCCCGGGGTTGATGTTTTACGACGCGAGCATGTCTGGGAGGGCTTCCTCTGCCTCGGAGGCTGCCCCCGTGGGGCCCCTCTG